GCGATTAAAAATTACCTGGGCTATCAATATTTTTTTAGTGACGCGAGTTATCGCCCATAACATATTACGTCATCAGAGACAACTTTTGACTGCAGTGACTGAGCGAGAGAAGGACAGATCAGGAGTTTACTGGTTGTTTACAAGTGCTTTTTAAAAATTCTTTCTAGGCTTATGGTGTAGTGCACATCTTTGAACTGTTATGTAAAATCTATACAGACTCAGTGTTAAGTCTATTTCTTTTCTCGAAGGACCTAAAAAAGGTAGAGCACACAATATACCACAATGTCTGTAGTACAGCGCATTAACAAACATCCATAAAATTTCAATACATGAATTTATGATATTTAGCTAATCTATCTGTTTAAAGCAAGTAGATAAAAAAATACACACGTATCTGGAAAATATAGTGATCATACGCATTATTATTTCAAACGAGATCAATAAATTTTATACTGATTTTTTTGTATGGGAGCGGCATACCGGAGCAGTGGAGAGTTCTTGAGTTCGCACTAAAAAATGCCGAGGATGGATGGTGTTCTTAAAATATAGCATATATATTATTATACGTAACTCTAAGTCTTTTTTTCAAATAACTTCGATTTTGTATTTAAAATTAAAACATATTTACTCTGTCCCATCTTATTTTGCAAAACACTCTATTAAACAAATTAAGATGAGACACGGGAGTTCAATATTAGCTTAACATAGGCGTCGGAACCGGGGGGGGGGGCTAGGGAGGGGAAACTTTTTTTGCAGATATATACATAATATAGGCATTGAAAATTGGGATTTACGTTTTTTGTTAGTTTAGCCCCCCCCCTTTTACTTAGCCCCAATTTGCTTCCGACGCCTATGCGCTACATTGCAACAAATTCCATCTCCTATCGCTGCTTTTCATCTGTCGGATGCTCATTACCGCTACATCTTCCGAAATCACAAAACCTTTACATTGTGAAAATGGCGATTGTACAGAGAATGTGTTATATACCATAAAATTCACTCACAATGTCGTCAAGGTACATTGTACATGTAAAATTACTTGGGGGGGGGGGGAGGGGGCATGAGAATGTATATGGAAATTATATGGACATAAAGTCACGAGAATGGTTTATTCATAGTTAAATATGTGAAGTTCGTAGATCCTCAACAGGATCGTGCATGGTTATAGGTTTCTAAGGTGATACTGGAGAGGGACTAGTACAGGTGGGAAATATACCAATCTGACTAAAGCCAGACCTCTATTTACGCTATCGCATAGAAGATCTGATAACTCCCAATTAGAGGTCATGTTCTGGTGAACTTTGTATTTGCATGTTGCGTCAGATTTTCAACCAATCAGATAAGCCGTTGTAAATGAAGTTCGTTGTATGAAGAAAAATGGCGGATGTTGATCGGGTAGTGCAAGAAGTTTTAAAAAGAATCGGTATTAAGTCCATTAAGAACGAACAGAAATTAATTTTGAAATGTTTAATCGAAAAAAGAGACTGTGTTGCGGTGTTACCAACCGGCTTCGGAAAATCACTTCCATTTTAAATGTATTTGCCAGTTAAGAGAGCCTTGGAAGACGACGAGAGCTTTGGGAAAGTTATCGTTTGTTGCCCTCTTGTTTCGTTAATGCAGGATCAGGTCAACAAGCTCTCTTCTCTTGGACTGATTACGGCAGCTTTTAAAGGTTTGTCTTTAAATTATGATTACCGCTAGGCATATTGTCGTGTAAAGAGTTCTGTTACCAAGTAAAGATAGTATATTTGAATCTTGATTCTGGAACATTTATCACAGAGCAGTATTCAGCAGCTTTTAATATGGAAAAATCTAAGTAAACTTAATGATATGTGTTGAGACAATAATTAGTATAATTACATCTTATTGCTGTGTATGATTGATAGACAATGATCATGTTGACACTGACAATTTTTCTCTCACTTATTTGCATTTTTTCATATTTGAATAAGTTGAACAGCTGATTAAATATAGCAAATTTGTATAGCTTTCTAAAGCTAAATACTTTTTCACACTACATGTCTATAGATGTAAATGTATATAGATATAGATATAAATATTGTGCCAGACTTGTTTAAGTCCATTGAGGTCATGAGGTGCAGTCAGTTTAACAATTAGATTTACTGACTATGCATGCAGTCAGGTCATCAGGACATTATCAGGTACCTAATTATTACACTGCCAATGTAAATGTAAAGGTTATTAGTTTATTTTACATGTATACACAGTGCTAAAATGGCAAGAGGACCTAATACATTAATAAGAAAGATAGGGCCTATTTTTGGCTCTTGTTGGTGCTATTAGAGAGGTTAAGCATTTGACCGTGTACGTCTACTTGTACGTGTAATCCTAGAAGTGATTTTACATGTACGCGTAACTAATGTCGTGTTCTGTTTAACAAATTGAACGTGTACCTGTACGTGTAAAACGTCATTTCAACATGTCACTTTACAATCCATTGTATCAAATAAATCAATGACTTTAAGTAAAAAAGATACATTGGATAATCGTAATAAACAGTCAACTTCATACTAAATACAGACTGAAAAATATTTATTCCATAGTTTGAGTTTAAGAAGCTACAAGTTTACACCAACGTGTAGTTGCAAATCTACACGTTGTGAACAACTTGTAGAATTACGCGGTATGCAAAACTGATGACGTAAATCACATCTAATTAGGGGATTTCCCTAGCTACACGTACACGGTCATCTGCTCAACCTCTCTATTATCATTAATGGCTACTGAATTAACAATTTAGTGGTTGTTATAGGCAAAGACAAAGAGACAGATGACTTGATAGAAGCTGGAAAAGTTGATATAATTTATGCATCACCAGAGTCCTTGGTTGGAGATAGCCGTTGGAGACAGACCCTTCAAAAACTGCATGTAATTGCAGTTGTAGTTGATGAATTCCATACAGTAGCCACCTGGCAAGTCTTTTCTATTTATTTTAAATAAATTATAAAATTTTATAATGAGGATAAGGAGGAATAAAAGCATTGATGTTTAAGTTTGGTAAAATTTAGGTTCTCCTAGGCCTCAGTCAGGAACTCTATTCCTCTTAAAAATTTAATTTAATTTTCATGTTCATATTAACACCAGCAAGTATAAAAAAATAAGGAAATTCTGTAATTAAAACATTTAAAAACTCTTATTTCAAATTTAGGGGTGGTCTAGAAGCAGAAAAAGAAGAAAAGGTCTTCAGAAGGTGGTTTCGACACATTGGAGAAATACGGTCATATTTTCCGGAGGCATCTGTTCTGGCACTTAGTGCTACCTGTACGAACACAATTAAGAAAAGGGTCACAGAAGTTCTGGGATTAAAGGAGTATGAGTATATCACAGTTTCCCCAAACCAAGAAAACATAAAATATATTGTGAAAAAGGTGGAGCAGAATATTGAGTCTTCATTGGTATGGATTGTGGACGCCATTTCCGAGATGAAGGAGAACTTTCCCCGAACAATAATATATTGTAAATCAATAAGAGACGTTGGACAAATTTACAATTTTCTTGCAACTGAATTGTCTAATATTCACAATATCAATGAAATGATAGAAATGTTTCATTCAGAAACTTCTGAGGAAAAGAAAAAAACTACAATTGAAAATTTAACAAAGGAGAGTCAATTGCGGGTTGTTGTTGCCACCAGTGCATTAGGAATGGGAGTAAATGTATCATCGTGCCACAATGTTATAATATATGGGCCTCCCAAAAGTTTGATAGATTTCATCCAGGAAACTGGGCGAGTTGGACGAGATGGGCAACACTCATGTGCCATTTTATTATATTACGGACAGCAATTGCGAAATGTTGACCAGGATGTAAAAACATATGTAACATCAACAGAGTGCAGAAGAATTCAATTACTTAAAACATTTTTATCAGACAAGGAATTAAAATCTGTGCAAAATACTGGAAAACATACTTGTTGTGACATTTGTGAAACAGTTTGTTCATGCAATTCCTGTTCTCTAACAGTATTGGAGAAAGCAGTAAGAAATCTGTCTTATGACAGTGTTGAAGACATATTGGATTCCTCCAGTGACAGTGATACTTTGTCATATGAGTATGAATCAGGTGATGATGACCTTATTGAAATGAATTAAATGATGCACTTCTGAACTCTGTTTTTGTTTACTTTGTAGAATGGATCTAGCACATTCTACATTTTTGTTTTGCTTAAATTCCTGCCATATCTTTGGTATTTATTTAGTACCGGTACATTTATATTCATTAATGCATCAAAAGTTGATAAGTTAAAATAAAAGGTGTGTAGTATGTGTGCTGGATCTCTCCCCTTTTTTAGGTCACCAGACCCCGAGATCATGCAACATCTTCAGCTTGAGTCAAAATTTTTATGTACTAAACCCTTGTAGAATTCAAGCATACCAAAATCAAAATATTTTCCAATATTGTTCCACAAAAGTTTTCTTATCTGCAAATTTCGAGATAAATTCAACATCAAATCAGGATTTTATAGTGGATTAAAATTTTGACTTAAGTCCAATTTCGTTTCATGATCCTGGGGCCCGAGTCACTCAGGTGACCTATTACTATCTGTTTCCGTCTGTCGTCATAAACTTTAAATTTTTAGCTGCTTCTCTGGAACCAGGGAACCAATGTCGATCAAATTTGGCCTCTGGTTTAAAACACAAACCAAAAATAATGGTTGGAAATTTGTTAAATGATGCTCAAGTGACCTATAAGGCCCATGGGCCTCTTGTTTAAGTAAGATGAACAAGTTCTTAAGATATCCATATTTATTCTATCCAATTGTAAAAATAAAAATTGAGCATGTTGCGTAACATGATTGCAAATGATTTTTTGTTTACCAAAAACAAATATACTCCATTATGCTATTTTACAATATATGCATTTACTTAATACATTTTACATGTTGAAATCTTTCAACCACTTTTCATTTGAATGCAGCTTACAAGAAAGGTGAAATAAATCTAAAGTAAGTCTCAGGAAAAAAATTCCTTAAATGTATTTTAAAAGCCATAATGATAATTATAATTTCTGTTCCTTAATCGACGGAATGGTAGCAGAGGTTTGTGTCTGTAAATCATGTTCACTAACTGTTTGTGACAGTCTGAAAACGGGTTGCTGTTTTGAACAAGTTGGCGACACTTGAGCTTCCGTCCTTCGTGATAGGAAAATCCATCAATGTCAAAGAGATCTACAATGATCTTCTGAACATCAGATTTGTAAGATGGGATGTTGTGAAAGCCTTTCCGTTTGTGAATATCACTGATCATGTCCAGATTTTTTACTGCTTTGATAAGAAGTGGAAACTGTTTTGAATGTGCTATAATGCTTTCTTTCGACTGAAATCCAGAACAAGTGTTCTTTGTGTCTCTATTGACTAGTTCTACATACTCATCAAGGGCCATGTTAGAGTTTTTTCCACCAGATAAATTTATGAATCTATTTGCAATTAGTCTCTCTGTTTGAAGAGAAGGCAAGGTTCCTGAAACCAGAGAAGTTAAATGGATGCTTCCAATGAGATATTTTGTCTTGTGCGTTTTGTTGTACAATGGGGTCTCATATTTAGCGGAGCGAACAGATCGGTTGCCATCTGCCATGTCCACTGCAGAATCGAGATTCCTGTGTAATGCTGCAAGGCGAAAAAGTGCTAGTAAATAATCATGCAGTTCATCTTGCTTAAGGCTTGAAGCAGTACTCTTTCTTTCAGATGGTTTGGAATGGCCATGAATTTCTTTTTCATGTGATTCCGCACTTCTAAGGTGACTGTAAGTTTTTCCACAGTAATGGCAGGAAAATCGTCCATCTTGAAAATTTGCAAACCAGTAATTTTCTTCATGATCTGGATCAGTCAATATTTGTCTTAAGTCTTCAAACAAATCACCATCTCCAAAAAACCATTTCTTTACAATTCGTTCACAAATGTTATTTAGCCACTGGATTTTTTGGTCTTTATTCCATGTGCAAAATTCATCAGGTAATGATACACTCTCTTCTGAGTTGTGAATCCCTAGCTCTTGTAAAAATAATACACAGCACATAGCATCAAATACAGTGCGATACAGCATTTTATATCCCCTGTAAGAATTTTTAACTTTTCCTTTGACATTGCGTGCATTTAAAATGTTCTTGTAATAGTACATGGTCCCACGGTCACTTGCTGATTGAGTGCTATATGTTTGCATCACTATTGCCTGCAAATTTTAGAAATAAAAATTATATAAATGTCTTGGCTGTTTCTTTTACAGCATCTACTTTACATGTTTAAATTATTAACAGGTTAACCTGAGGTATTTTTCATCAAAAGAATCATGAGCATTTACATTTTGTATTCCTTTAAAACATGATATTGAAATATTACCTCAAGGAAGTTCATTAGCCGGTGGAAATCTTCAATTTTAGAAATGAATCCTTCCAATTTTTCTAAGGCAGTTTCATTATTTGTCATGGCTTCTTGGGCACTCTGTATTCTTTCATCTGTTAATCTGTCTCCTATAGGAGATGAATTAATAAATATCAGCATTCCATTAATATGTTAAAGCATTACCAAAGAATGCTGTTATAATAATGTACCATTGTAGTGATTTAGTTTAGCAGAGGTGGATGTGTTTCATTGACTTTCTATAACTTAGATTAATCACCAAAATGTTAAAAATTTAAAGCAGATTTTAAAGCATTCAAAACCAATCTTGACAGACGGAATGTCATTTTACCTGTACAAAACTTAAAATAATTTTTTTTCTGCTTATTTACATCAAACTTGTATAAATTACTCATAAATGTAAATACAATAAATGTGGATAATTTGTTCCAAACGTGTTAGTACATTCCTTTTTAATATATTCTAAATTACCTCCAAAGAACACTTCTTCCACAATTTCTCCTGCATCATCTGTGGGTACATACTTCTTTGATAGCTCTTTTAGTAGTCTGATAACATCCTGAGTGACCATTTCATTGCAATCAAATAGTCCCAATGGATACTGTGCAAAGAACATGTACATGTATTAAAGTTATGCTTTTCTATAGAAAATATGACATAAAATACATATAATCCATACATAAAGTCTTACCTGTTCTGTTTTTATTCCTGAGTAATTGCTGTATTTGTGTTGCAAATGCTTAGGGTAAATTGATACAAAACTGTCATTCATCTGGTCAATATTAGCTATGACTGAACTTGCAACAAGGAAAGTAAGCTCATGGAGAAGAATATCCTGATCCTCACTGGAGGGTATGAAATTCACAGGATTCAGGTCTGAAATATCAATGAGCTGTGAGTCAGTGTCCACCACACAATTCACTCTGTCAAGGACTCCAATGACCTGAAACAAGTGCAAGGACAATGTTTTGTCTTGAGACGTTCTGTAAGAAGGAATGATATTTCTGTCCCAATTGTCCCCTATGAGTTGGTATTTTGTTTGCCCTCCTCGACTCCATTCTTCTTTGTACTTGAGTAATTCCTCATCTAAAATTGCATCCCAAGAATTCAGCTTTCTTTTAAGTGTTTCTGGATGAACACTTGCTCCAAATTTAGCAATTCTCTCAATGTCCTGAAAAATTGGCAAAATTCATATCAAATCAATGCAATGAACATGCCAAAATAACTAATATAAAGTGACTTTTTATTTAATTTATAAAAACAATACAGTACAGCAAAATTCATATTTCTATCAGATTCCAAAGATTATGGTACTCGGATATATGGTATAACAGTTTTATAAATCAATTTATATCAATGATGTACAAAATTATGCAGGTGATTAATAATGTATAGTAGAACAGAAGGATTAATATAATAAATTAAAACATAAATTTGCTTCATTGTATAATAAGTCATTCTGCTCCAAAATTATAAAATTGCATTTATTTTGCTAGTAGACACATTTTCATTAGTACACTACAATTATTACCTTAAGAGTGCATCCTCCATGCATCAACACCAATCCAGACAAGTATTGAACTAAGGACATTTCTTGGGATCTTCCATGCAGGATTTGTGACACAGAATACATGACATACTGAAATGGTTTCTCACTCACTTGTAATGGGATATCTGATACCATCGCTGATACTGTCTTTAAGACATTTGGTGCTCTTATTTTCAGCTCAGAATACATACTGTCCCATGTAAATTCTAAAACATTGCTGCTTGATTTATCTTGAAGAACACTACCAGAATTTCTCTTGCACAGATTTTTGCATTCATCACCTGCAAAAGATGCAAATTAAAACTGTAAACAAGTATAATCTGATCATGATTTCATATATTAATTAGAATTTTTTTATCTTGATCTAATCACATGGCAGAAAGTAGTACATATGCATTATAAACATAAGTCGTATTTATTAACAGACAAAATCAAACCAAACATGCTGAATTTCAACTTAATTAATATGAATATATACTCAAAGCCTTGATGTATCAAATTTGTTATTTCTGGTTATTTTATTTCCCAAGTGAGCAATGCAGACATTTTCACATCTTACCTAAAACTGATAATGACCCCTCAACTAATATGTTGGGGTTCGTAGTCTTTAAAAAGTCTTTCAGTCCTCGATCCACTTCTTTTCCTCTAAAAACAATCTTGCAGATCTTTTTCTCATTCTCATCAATTATGAAACGACTTTTTCGACCACTTGGATAGTATATGCTGAGCTGAAAGTAAATTAGAATATATGTCAAAACTCACAAATATTTCTTGAACATATTCATAAACTCATACTAATTCATTTTTTTACTTCTTTGATGTCAAAGCAAATTTCATTTCCGGTTGACAGTTTGTAATATCTTTCTGTCCATCTCAAATAGTCTGTTTTCCTTCCATTTGATAAAAATTAGTGATATAATCATGTAATAGGTTCAAATCTTTTTACATATACCTTAAATCACAGTTGAATTTATTTACAAATCCAGGTCTGATTTCAAATCTGAAAAAAACAGCAACATGCACATGCAAAAATAAAAAGCAATAAAACTGGTGAACATAATATATCACATGCTAAATTTTACAACAACTAGTATCTACATGAACAATTGTATAATCAATGCAAAAAAGCAATAAAAACTAGTGAACTTAATATATTGCATACTAAATTTATACACCAACTTGTAACTACATGTTCAATTGTATAATCAATGTATAATTAATGGAAATCTAAAAATGCTGTGAATATATATAAGAGTCAACTGGTAAATTGGAAATAATCATGTTAAGTAAACATGTGTAACAATCAACAAGTTAGTAGTAACTTTAGAAACTTCATGAACAATTCTTTTTCTAAGTTAACCTCAATTGACCCATCTAATGATGTTGTATGAATGTCATCGAGTTCTTTATTTGAAATCCCAAAATCTAGAGATGTCTTAGATCCTTGTATTTTCATACTAGACGTACTAGATGTAATATCTAGGAAGAAAAATCCAAAGTCAGGTGACTTGCAGTAGTAAAATAATTTTCTAGCATATTTTATTTCTAATTGACATTTACAAAATACAAGATGTGATTGTATTCCATGGCGAAACAATGCTTAGTTATTATATGATTAATTCACCACACAGTGACAATTAATATGATTAAGTACATGAAGTATGTGAATAAAGAAAGGTGGCCAAATTTATTCATTCAAACTCATAGAATTCACACCCTCAAACTTTTTAAGCATACCTTGTTTCTCCTTTGGTGCAATAGGGATACCAGTAAATGAACTACTACTAGGTAGTTGATATGTAAGAGGCAGCTGTCAATTCAAAGTAAATATAATGTTAATATATTGTAGCTGAATTGCAAATTAGCAGAAATAACAAGTTTAATTGCTGTGGGTTTCTGATCAAAGTACAAACATCTTTTCAATATGAGTGAAAGTTCATTCTTCATATTTTAATTAAACACCGTTTAATTTACAGGACTGAAATAGCTACTGAAATGAAAATATCAATCAGGTTTTTATGGAAGATCAAGTACACCAGGGATAACCACATAATGACTTATGTTGTCATGTATGTCAAAATGTGTGTGTTTTTGTTTATGTTCAGTACTTGTTAATAGCAAAAAAACAATAGACATGCATTATTTCTTAATCCGAAATACCTTAAATTCGAACCCCTTTCTTACACTATCACAGAGGAATTTCGGATTAATTTTTTTTTTCTCTATCTATTCATATACATTGTAAATATAATATAATATCGTGATCTATTATTACCTCTGTTTTCTGCAAATCTGTTCTATTTGTCAAATCTTTGAATGGTGCTATTTGCTCGAGCTTGCGGTAGGATACGTCGAAAGTCTGCTTTTTTGAAGATGGCATGGACGGGCTCCTAAGCATCCGTTTAGTTATGGACTTTCTCCGAGGGGAAAGCAGCTGCAACGTGAGTGTTTGTATTGTTCTCTGTGCCACCTCGCGAAACCTCTGTTTTATTTGCTCATTTTTGGATTCGGTTTTCATTATAGATTCAACTGATCGATAACACTTTTTACACACACCTGCATTTGTGACATCTGCAATGTCTGTCAGGCCTGTTAGTTGTTTTATGTTATCTTTTCTTTCGGTGTTTAGTCTTAACTTCGTTTCGAAAAACTTGTGAACTTTTTCCTCACCATTTTCCTTTCTTTCAATCTGTATAAACGAAAATCCGCAGAGGATACAAGTGTCCGATAAGACACATGTCTTCCGAGGTGTAGAAGTCGCCATGTTTACGTTTATCGGAATACATCGGGCATGTCTTCTATACTAACAGAAATGACAAAACTTCCGAAATTCCAGACATTGCAAATGAAGACGCGATTTGATTGGTCAATTAAAAGTTCACCAGAACATGACCTCTAATTGGGAGTTATCAGATCCTCTATGCGATAGCGTAAATAGAGGTCTGGCTTTAGTCAGATTGGAAATATACCCACAGGGGCCTGAAGTATTGATCGATACCCCCTATTTTTTAAATAAAAGAAATTGTTAGAGCGTGAAATATCTCAAAAATATAAAATACTACATATAATGCCATTCCCTAAACGTAAAAAATGCTCACTCTGCTTGCATAGAACGACATATAGATGTAATTGACGGGGATTTTTTTCATATATATTTTTGAGATATTTTACGCGCTTACATTTATTATTAAAAAAAGGGGGGTATCGATCCATAATTCAGACGCCTGTGCGAAAACTTTATCCGGACTATAAAAATAAAGTGACCAATGTCACATAATATCTCATAAATACGTACCTGCAGTTTTTGGTATTAAAACCAAAATAAAAGAACATGCTTTACTGTAGATTTTAAGATTGACAAGAATTAGTGTATGGATGTTTAGTAGAAAAGATAAATCAAGCTGAAAATCAAAGCTGAACAGGAACTCTTGGGAAAATGTTGAGAAAATGAAAGCTATCTTTCTTATAATGCCTTGACGTGGAAGATTTTGCTGCTCCGCCACTTACACATGTATAATGATATGTCCTGATAAATCACCCAAAACTGATATCAATTTACAACAGTTTGATATGAAATTCTGAAGACCATATAAGTAAAGATTCGTTTATGTTTAGTGTGACATTTCATGATTTTGCCTCCGAAATTGGTTGAAATGGGGGTACGATTTCAAGCAATCACAACCGGCCAAAGAGTTTGCTGATCACTTTTAACTTTGCTAATAATTGTTTACACGGCTGACTATCAATACTCATCGAGTCTACTAGTTTATTAATTAGTTATCTAACAGACAAAACAATGTATTCTACATAGATGCAAATAATGTACTAAGTCTAAAGGTTTCGATTTTCATGGTAAACGTTTTTGAATATCTGTTTTGAATTTATTTTCAATACATAAAACATATTAAAATCATTGCTTCTTGGAGAATTTCCCGTTTTACTTTCATATTATTCTCGGAATCTAACTTCGATGACAATCCATGCAGGCAGGCCTTACATATTCGGATTGCTTCGTAATGGGCTCATATATAATTGGTTAAATATAAAAACTCAAGTATATCTTCGAAATTACCGTCAATAACACGGTAGAGCGTTGAAACTAGTCATTTTAATCAGTTATTCGTTGTTTTATAGAATAGCGCCTATACAGCAATTGTCTCTGATGACGTCATGAAAAAGAGCGATAACTCTATCGCCCATGTCTATAAATAACGATATTTGAACAGGTATTTTGATTCTATAATCTGGATTTTTGTTAAACAAACACAACCATAAACTTTCATTTAATGCTTTTGATGAATTATAAACATTTTTTTAAGATCTATTTTTACCGTACTTGACCTTTAAGGTTACCTGTATATATTCTGAATCTGTCTCTGTTTCTACTTCTTGGTCACATTGAACTGGGTCTTCATTTGTCTGTACTGCTACAGAGTTGACATGAGGACTTAAACTGGCACTTACCTCTTCAGGATAGTTACGTCTGCTCAGGGTGTCCGCTACACAGTTACTCTTACCTGGCCTGTTGACCATCTTGAAACTATACTCTTGCAGTTTGAGAGTCCAGCGTTCAAGCCTACCTGTATGCTTGGCAGTTTGGAGCCACACCAGTGCCTTATGGTCCGTTACAACGGTAAAATGACTATGCACTAAGTGAGGCCTATAAGTCTTTACACCAGTTAGAACAGCTAAACACTCTTTTTCAGTTCTGTTGAATTTCTTTTGGTCAGGTGTTAAAGACTTACCACCGTAGGCAATCACATACTCTTTGCTGTCCTCATTAATTTGACCAAGAACATAGCCTACCGCTCTATCTGAAGCATCACAAGTGAGCACAAATTGTTTGGATGGATCAGGATATGCCAAAATTGGTGCATTCAAGAGCTTCTGTTTGATTGCATCAAAAGCATTTTGGCAATCTCGAGACCATTCAAATTTTCTGTCCTTACTCAACAATGCATTCAGTGGATAAGCCAATTTTGCAAAATCTTGAATAAATTTTCTGCAATAACTGGCCATCCCGAGGAAACTGCGAACTTGTTTTTGAGTTTTTGGAATGGGGAAGTCAATCATTTTGTCTGGGTCAACCTGAGCCCATTTCGCGAAATAATGTGTCCCAGAAATTTTAATTTCTTTAACGCCAAATGACATTTTGAGGGATGTAAGGTGAAATTTGCTTCCTTTAATTTGTCAAAAACTTGCCCTAAATGTAAATGTTCTTTAAATGTAGGGGAGAAGATAAGAATATCATCCACATACACTAAAACTATCTTCCAATTCAAACCTCTCAAAACATTGGACGTAAGGGTTTGAAATGAGATTGGGGAATTAATCAAACCAAGGGCATACACACCACCCTGCGTTATGAACGCAGCTTTCTTTCTACTTTCTTCCTCTCGCTCCATCTGCCAAAATCCAGACATTAAATCAAGATTTGAAAAATACTGGGTCTTAGCCTCACCTATCGCATCAAACACACTCTCTGAGTGGGGAAGAGGGAATGACATGGGCACTGTGAGATTGTTTAATGCCCTGTAATCACAGGCAAAACGATACTGATTTTCTTTTTCACAAGGACCACAGGTGAATGCCATTCTAAGTTGGACGGCTGAATAATGTCATATTCGAACATTTCATTTATTTGTCTTTCAATTTCTCTATGAGTTTGCGGCGAGGTCCTGTAAAAGTTCAACCAAACTGGTCTAGAACTTTCTTTT